CGTTGACAATATTACAACAGGAAAACCATCTGATAGGCAAAATTAGGTAAGATTTAACAACATCGCGGAATATTTCACCTTATTCATTGACCTTGCTTTCGTAACTTGGTCATATTTGCAGGAAGACCCAGAGGAACACACCTTGTCCGGAGCCCATAGTATACATGATCGTTTCCAGAGTCGGACCGTGGAATTGGTACATTCCCAGAAGTTTCGCCCTCATCATCAGTGAGCCTTGCCATTCTTAACACCACACTACAACTTGTCAGAGACAAGTGAAGTCGATCCTTTGACTAATTTCGTGATAAACAGTTGTGGTACCTCTACTTCTGTCCTGGGCAATTTACATATCCTATATCCTCGTATAACCCCTTCAATATCACAATTTCTTGTTTATCTAAACCTATTTAGAACCTAGTTACACGCTCCACTATTTCCACATCCATTCCGCTGTGCCGGAAGTATTTTTCTAAGGCAGCGGTTTAATCCGCAATGCTCTCTCTTAGGGTCCTATCAGAGTCCCCCTCTTGCTCAGTAGGATCCATCTCTTATCTGATCGTTTGATTGATTTCACGCAATCGCTGCCACCGTATTCGTGCTACTCAAGGCGTTATATTCTACACTCTGCGTCAATCCTTTGATGATAGCACGTATACACTAGCCTCACCGGACAAGCCCCTAAAGTCTGGCTTTTCAATTGGCGTGGCAACCAAATTTTATGCTGCATATTTCCTTATCACTGTACGGCATATGCACCGAGAAAATATCGTGGTCAAGCATTTGCTATGGTAAAACATATTGTCAGCCAACTAGCTCCAGTCTCCGTCGCGTATATCCATTTTCTATCCCTAATAGCAAGTCCATGATTTGCTATCCCCTAGTCTCTTCTGTGTCAACCAAAAAATGTTGTGGTACTACTTGCCTTGATTAGGTTCAATGTTGAACCACAACGTTGGTGGGTTGGCACACAAGAGACTAGGACATAGAAAATCATAGACTTGGTATTAGGGATAGAAACAGGATAGACATGGCG